CCAATAGCCTGACCCTTGAGGTGGCCACACACAGGGCCAAGAGGCCAAGCCAAGGATGAAGCTGTAACCTCTGTCCTAGGGTGGAAAAGTGGCATTAAAATGACAAACATGCCTGTCACTTTCTTCTCCTAGACCCAGACTGCATTGCTGCTCAAAGATACCTTGTCTCCAGCCTGTGTGGTCTGGCCTCGCCCTGGCAGTATGCAGCAGCTGCGCTGCAGAGTGGCCCCTCGTTTATTTCTTGGGGCTTGGGATCACTGTATTTTGCTGCTTGATATTCACTGTTCTGCAAACTTTGCAAACTGTTCTTTTGTATTTGTTTGTTTGTTTTTTTTTGTTTGTTTGGTTTTTTTGGTTGTTCCACGTGGAAAGGAAATTCTGGTCCTATTACTCTATCTTGGCCGGAAACAGAAGTCCCCAAGTTTTTTTTTTGGACAGGTTTTTGTTATAGGGCACGTGTGCTCACCAGACAGAGAGACAGAAAGCAAGAAATCACCTCCCAGGGGGGATGGCCACGCCGCAATCTCTTCTCCTCCATTCTCCTCTCGGGATCTTGGGCACACATGCACACACGCCCAGCATGAGTTTAAGCCACCGGGTCCGGGACGCAAACCACGGTCGACTACATGGGAGTACAGCAACACAGCCATTACACTAGCTGGTCCCTAATGATGTCTTTATTTTCTTCCTCTCTTCCTTCTAGTCTTCCTCCCTTCCTTCATAACTCTCTTGCTTTCTTCTTTTTTTTTTCACTTAACACTATAGTTTTAAATTAAATTATCTCATAAAAATTGCCAGTGAAACTAAAAATGCCATATATTCAAATACAACATGTATAAGCTAAAATCACCTTTAGTAAGTTATGTACATAAATGTAAATGTTAACCATACATTGTCATTCTAAGTATTAGCAAATTATACTCATAAAAATAAATTCATGTTCAAAAACAAAATCACTCAGGGACCAGCAGTTAGCGTAATGGCTATGTCGCTGAACTCCCATGTAGTCGACCATGGTTCGAGTCCCAGACCCAGTTGGCTTAAACTCATGCCGGGCGCGTGTGCGTGCGTGCCCAAGATCCCGAGAGGAGAACGGAGGAGAAGGGATTGCGGCGTGGCCATCCCCCCAGGGAGTGATTTCTCGCTTTCTGTCTCTATGTCTCTCTCTGTCTTTCTGGTGAGCGCACGCGCCCTATAGCAAACGCCTCTCCAAAAAAAAAACCAAAATCACTCATAAGGAAATGAAAATATATAATGAATAATAAGGGCACATGTTTTCCAGAGGAAGCCAGAGAAAGGGAGAAATCCTCCTCCAATCGAGGGGGTCACACTGCAATCCCTTCTCCATTTCTCGGGCACTTGTACTTGGCATGTTCCTCTAACTGCAGTTGGCCAAGTGGGCTCTGTCTCACTGGGCTTGGGGCTGGTCCCACGATACGCTTAGCCGAGAAGAAAGCGGTTTCTCTAGTGAAGGAAAACGCAACCTGGGTAGTGCTCAGGGGCGTTCTCTGGTTTGTCCGTGTCACCAGGAGTGTGTAATGAGTACAGCAGACAAGGCCTCACTGGGTGTCAGTCAGCAGGGAGGGTGCTGCGACCCCCAAGGTGTCAGGACAGTGCCCGCCTTTCTGTCTTGTCACAGCATCTTGGCCGGGAGCAGGAGGCAGGGACAGAGGAGCAAGAGCTCCGGCAGCCTCATTCCGGGACGTGGCATGCCCTGGTTTTCTCAGCCTTCCCTCCTGACCACCTCAGCACCCTTCACGCCCTCTCTTCGGCACAAATGCCCTTCACTTGCCTGTTAGTCATTTGTGCGTGTCTCTTTTCTTGGAGCCCGCCTGCTCCTCCAACAGGGCAGTCGGGTCTTAGCTTTGTAATGATCCGTAGGACAGCTGGTGCCAGACACAGTGAGGGCACCGTTTCCACTCCCAGCCCCTAGCATGGAGCAGGGCATGGACTGTGCTCCGTACATGTCGGTGGAGGGAGGAAGGAAGGGAGGGAAAAAGAAAGGAAGAAGGAAGGGAAGAGGAAGGAAGGAAGGAAAGAGGGAAGAAAGGAAGGAAGGAAGGGAGGAGGGAAGGAAGGAAGGAGCACCTTCATGATTCTCTCTTCTCAAATATGAGCCATCAGTCTGCCCACAAGGCAGACTCTTATCACCTCTGTGCAGGCATACCGGCCCTTCCCAGTGGGACATAATTTCAGGTCAGAGTGGACCTGGCCTGCAGGGCAAAGATCAGGGTTCCAGCCTTGGCCCTGGGAAGGTTATTCCCGAGCCTCTGTTTTTATTCTTTCTTCCGAAATGACACCTCCTAGGCTTCTTCCTGCTCCAGCATCCTCTAATTGACTCAAGCAGAGATAAATAAGAATGCAGTCTTTGAACACAACAGCTGGTTTTCTGAGCAAAATCCAAGCTTTCCGCCTCGCCTGCGCTCCACGACATACCACCCTCTTTCCTATGTGTTTGCAGTCTCGCTCTGGGTGGTTCTCTCACACTCGCGTGGATCTGTACATGGCTGAATATTTGGGGGGACCTATGCAGAAGGCCACTCTCAACCACTGTTTTCAGTATCAACTGTGTTTTCAAAAGTCATTGCAGAATGAGAATTCCCAGCTCTTTAACAGAGAATATAAACAGGCACTGGGCAATTTAGTGCCAAATTCCAAGTGAGGTTTACAATCCAGCAAGCTGATGGGGTTTCTCAACAGAGGCCCTGTTGGCATTTTTCAAGGGAATTTCCAGTTCATTGTCCTGAACGCCCAGAGCTCCTAGAATCACACATTGTGACAACAAAGACAGCGTGCGCCCATATTTCCAAGTGCTTGCTGCAAGGGAACGCAACCCCCGACTGGGACCATGTCCTGATAGATTTACCCCGAGCCGCAGGAGTGCTGGGTAAGCTTCTGTGGACCACTGGTGGGCATCCACGGCACCGGGGGCACCCCAAACTGAGGGATTGAGGGGGGAGGATTTTGTGATATTTCGCCAAAAGCATTGAACATGAAAACTCCGTTACGCCTCCTTCCCTTAGTGGAGTGCGTACTCCATTCTCATGTTGGATTCTGTATTCTCTATCTTTTCTGGGTTTCCAAAGGCCTGACCCTGCCCCAGCTGACAACAGCCTGGTGACCTCCTTGTCCCAGTCATTCCTTGGGAAACATTTCTGGTTTTGCTTGCGCTCTGTGAGGATCCTGCGTCCACCCCGGGACCCAGGCATTTGTTCATGGGGTGTCAGCACTAGTTTCCCGGAAGCACGTAATAGCTTCCTGGATCTCTTCTTCCTTTAGCTGCAGCAATCAGCAGCCCCTCCCTTCTTTCTGTCTCCTGTCTTCATTCTGCACCCGAGGGCACAGAAGCACTTGGGAAAAGCAGCTGTTGATTGCATGCACACCATAGGACCCAGCCATCCTGCTCCCAGGTATTCATTTACCCAAGAAATAGGAAAATGTGTCTACACAAGGCTTGTCTGCAAACACGTACAGCAGCTTTATTCACTGTACTCAAAACATGAAACACTTCGTGTCCATCGACAAGCGAATGGCTCAGCAGACGGTGGTGTGCACATGTCATGGAAAACTACTCGCAGCCATAAAAACAGGGAACGACTGATGTGTGAGCGGCACGCATGCATCTCACGGACGCGGTGGTAAATACAGGAAGCAAAGAAAAGAACAACACACGCTGCATGAGTCCATGGATGTGACTGTCAAGGACAAGCAAACCTGACCTGTGGTTTTAGAAATCAGAATAGTGGTCACCCCCATGGTGGGACTTGCCCAGAAAGAGGCACAGGGTAGCTTTCTGGGGTGTTACTGTGATCGTCATTGCCATATGCTGCTCCTCCCTAGCTTCGCTGACTCTGTGATGGAAGCCGGGCTCCCACTGACGTCCACATCTGACAATGCTGACCAGAGGGTCCCCTTAATATGGCACTTTTCCCCAGGTGTAGATTGCACAAGACAATCCCAATGAGCCCTCCACGGTATCACTGCAGAGTCATCCACTTGGCCCTGTGTGCTGTTGCACCCCTCGAGGTGCCTGGGGTTGAGTGGACACAGACTCTGGGGCCAAGGGTGGATTCTTGCACAGTACATTCCCAAGTCTTGAAGACCTGCCCAACGTTAGCGCTGCCTGTCGATTCATCCATTCCTTTCTCCCTCCACGATTCCCTCTCACTTAGTCTCTTCCCCTCCCTATTCCCTTCCCTTTCTGCCCCCAATCCTGTGCAATTCTGGGCACTTCTTGCCAACTGAATCTGGGCCTCCCCTCTGGGGCGAGGCTGTGTGATGTCTTTGCATTTCTTAGGGGAACATGAACCAACCTCACTGCCCCAACACAGCCCACGCCAACAAGGGGCACAGGTTCACCCTAAGGATCCCATGGATGGAATGTGACGGGAGGGCCACGCAGCACCCAGGGTCAGATGCTCTGATGGAGTTCTGAATTTCAGCCACCTCTGTGCAAACCGAGACAGCGCCAGGTACCCACCCCATGCGCTGAGTCCAAGAAGGGAAGGAGCCTGTCTCTTGCAAGAAATTTGCTTCAGAAACTGATATCAACGGGCCTCTCTTTCCTTCCTCCACCAGCGTCCCCTGTGAGCCCTGCTCCCCACCCCCACCTGCAGAGGAACCGGATCTAATGCCTCGACTGAGAGAATGAGATGTTCTGTTATTTTTCATGGGGAATTAAGCCTGGCCCTGCTGTCAGTTAGCTCATGCCAAGAGAGGATGGATGGCCTGGGGCGCGGCGCTTAACCCCTGCTCTGAGCACACCAGCACTGGGATGGAGGCGCTCAGGGGCCAGCCTGGCTGGGGGCCAGCCATGATGTCACCTGCTGCAGGGTGGGGGTGGGAGCGGGGACGGCAGAAAGGTCAGAGAGCCTTCATCCGGGTGATGGATGGCTCTCCCGTGGTGAAGCCCCGACTAGTGTCACACATGACAGTCCCAGCTCTGACGCTGGCCGAGACTGGCTCGCCCAGGGAGGCTCAGCCCCTCCTGTCTCTTTCAGCTCCCAACTCTACCTCCTGCCCGGCCGAGGAAAGCTGGTGGTCGGGGCTGGTGATCGTCATCGCCGTGTGCTGTGCCTCCCTGGTGTTCCTGACCGTGCTCCTCATCATCTGCTACAAAGCCATCAAAAGGTACGCATCCCCCAGGTCTCCCGGACCTGCCCGGGGCTCCTCTCCCACCCATCCAGTGTTTTCCATTCTGAAAGCTGTCGAGCCTGTATAAGGCAGAGAGGATGTGGTGAACTCTCATCTGCTCTCACCCTGATCCAACCGTCAGCAAGAATCTCCTGCATTTTCTGTTTTCTCTTATTCTCTTATTTTTTTATTACTAAAATATTTTAAAGTTGATCTCAGACATAATGACCCTGTCATCATTTTTAGGTTAGATTATTTTTTCTTTTTAAGAGATTTTTTTTTTTTTGCTATAAGGCACGTGCATTCACCAGAGAGACAGAAAGTGAGCAATCACCCCCTGGGGAGGGATGGCCACACCACAACCCTTTCTCCTCTCAGGATCTTAGGCACACACACGCCTGGCATGAATTTCAATCCTCCAGGTCCGGGACTCGGTCGGCCCTGTGGAGTCCGGCAACGTAACCATTATACCGTGTGTTGGTCCCTCCTTTGTTCTTTCATTATTATTAGTTTGTAGGGCCCATGCACTTGCCAGAGAGAGAGAAGGCAAGAAAGCACCCCTAAGGGGGTATGGCCACATCACACACCCCCATCCTGCCCCCTGTTCTCCTCTTGGGATTTTGAGCATGCCTGCACATGCTCCTGGCATGTCTCTCTAGCTGCTAGGTCCAGAACTCGAATCGTGCTGTGAGCCATGTGGGATCCAGCAGCCTCACCCACCAGGCATTCCGCTGGGCCACCCTGTCATTTGTAGGTAGCACTGTGATTAGCCTCTGATTAATGCCAGTTTTGTCAGGCCCCACCCAATACAAAAAATGCAAAAATGCTGCTAAACCCCAAAGGGTAACAAGAGTTGTTAATGTTCGGGAGATGAAAAAATTTGTGAAAACAGAATTAAACAGAATTAAAGTGTGAGAGTTTATTTGGGTGTCAAACATTTTTTAAATACATGCATCATTTTTTCATAATAGACACTTTCCACAAGCCTTTGGAAGACCCTCCCTACCCCAACATAATATTTATTAAGAAAGTTTAAAAAAATTTCCTGATACCCAAAATGAAGAAAATTAAGAACAGTCATAACACCTAAAATACTGAAGTTTATGCTTCTCTTTGGTGTGATTTTACTTGGACCATTCAAAACCAGAAAGTAAAATATCAAGTTCTAAGTCTTGAAACATGAATGTTCTGGCACTCAGGGTAAAGGGAGTGCCCTGGAAACTGGGCGGGAGAAGCAGGACATGAGGAGCAGGGCCTGGCTCTGGGCACAGCAGCTCCACAGAGGAAGGCTGCGCCCTGTGCTCCCAGCCCAGAGCCACAAGCTGAGCCATCTTCTGCGCCCCGCCCCGCCCCGCCCCGCAAAGCTGCAAGGCCGTCCCTGGAACAGTGAGAAGTAACCGGCCAATGGCCAGGTCCAATTCTCTCTCGATTGGTCTTCACCATATCTTTTCCCAGTGAGCTCCATTTTGCAGATGAAGAAACTGAGGCTCTGAGTTAAGGAATTGCCCTGCACGGCATAACCAATGAGCAGTGGAGGCAGAATTTGAACTCAGAACTGAGACTTCAAAACCCAGTCCAATAGAATTTTCTATTCCCATCTTCCCTTCTCAGGGGTATAGAACAGGGTCACCTGGGGATGTGGTGAGGTCAGAGGACAGACAGAAAGGCACGGGGCTCTAAGACCTGGTAACTCTGGGCAGGGGCCTGGCCTTGGAAACCGAGGGGAATGCATCAGAGTCTCCCAGGGGACATGAGCTGCTCACGTAACCACAGGGGGAGAGGCTAGCATGCCGACCAGGGAGGCTGGGAGTCTGTGGGCAGCCTGCTCTGGGTACCTGGAGGAACCAGAGTAATTCCTGATCCGGACACAACGGCATTGGAGCCCAGAGCCTACTGGAGGGGGAGCGGGATCTGAGAGCAGAGCAGAGGCATTCCAGGAAAAGGCCCCTGTGTGAGCAAAGCTCTGGGCCACCAGCTAGCCCCTGGCACACCCCTGGGTGGCTGGGGAGGCCTTTGTCACCAGGCTGAGTGGTGACTTCACCTGTGACTATAGCCACAGGAGCTGCTACAGGGTTTTGAGGAAGAGTATGCACTTCAAGGAGACCCCCCCCCCATCCTCCCCCCCACACACTTCCCCTGGGAGATGCTCAGTGTAATCTTCCTAATTCACCCAGGCTCTTACGGAAGATAGGGAGCCACCACTGCCTCCCACTTGTCCTCCTGGGCGGAGCTTCTTTCTGGGGTGTGAGTGGGCGGGGCCGCTTTCAGGAATGTGGGTGGAGCTCCTTCCTGGAGTGTTGGCAGGTCCAGGACCCTGTGGGCCTGGTGAGGCACTCTGGGACCCACAGTGGTGGGGACCATTAGGTTGACAGACAAGAGGAGGAGATAGTGCCACACCAGGAACTAGGGACAGCCAAAGACTCAGAGGCTGCCTGGCAGGGCTATGGTTGGCGCTGCCAGAGCTGCAGCCCACAGCAGAGAGGAAGGTGGGAAGCCGCCCACCTCTCTCCAGCTCTCAGGTCTCCCTTGGGTGCCTCCCCTTGGCCAAACCCAAGAAACAGGGGAACCAGGAGATCCCACGAGGTCAGCCTCCTGGGGCACAGGACAGGAGAGAGGGTGGGACGGGCAGACGGGCCCAGTGTGAACTCTGCAGACGATCTCTTTCCTGCCCAGCATCCATGTCTGGGCCAAGACCTGGGGACGCCAGGGATGAGACCCAGACTCTGCCCTCCAGGTGTTCTAATCCACACTGGGCATCCGTGGGGCAGCAGACAGTCAGCGAGAGGTGGGGCAGAGACGGAGTCCAGTGCTGCCTGACCCCTCCTGGAAAGAGGCCTGGGAGGGACACCTACCCCCGGGGAGAGAGGAGGAAGCAGCAGGATACAGCCCCGTGTAGACGCGGCCTTCGGTAGAGAGCTGTGAGGGACAGCATCGTGCAAGCCAGTCTTCCGACAGCCTTCTTCCCGGGACACCTGAGGATTTCTTGCTGACGACCAATTCCTCGTGGTCAATGATTCATCTGAAACATGACTTTCCTCAGGAAACAAAAGCATCCCAGGCCGCAGAGGTTCAGGCATGGGAGGGAGAGGTTCAGGCACAGGGATGGGAGGAGGCTGAGGACTGAGTTGCAGATGTGGAAGGAGTTCACATCGGCCCACAGCAGTCTGGAGGCCGAGGCCAGGCGGGGGCTGGGGCTGGACTTTGGCAGGGGGTGGGGTCCGTGGAGCTGCTCTGCGCCCTGGGCCATCCTGACTGTGCTAGGCAGTGCCGTGCTCAGGCAGCTCCGAGCCTGGGATTGCCCAGAGGAAGGCACCTTGCTGTATCTGGGGCCGGAGGGGTGGCCTCAGCCAGGCCAAGCGACTGAAAAGGGTGTGGCTCAAGCTGGGCCTAGATCTGGGGCCGGAGCTGTGGCCTCAGCCAGGCCAAGTGACTGAAAAGGGTGTGGCTCAAGCTGGGCCTACGTATATAATGGACCCAAGTCCCTTATCCACTACCCCAAATTCTGGAGGGCTTCCCGCCGTGGTGTGCCCATGTGGTTTGCATTTTGTGGCCTCACTGGGCAGTTTGTGAACAAGCACCATCAACTGTGGCCATGGACGAGCAGACCTAGGGCCCTGGACATTCCGTACCCTCGTGCCAGGCACCAGGCAGCCTGCACAGCTGAGGCCTGCCACCCGTCTGTTTGAGGCATCAGGACAGCCAGGAATTATTACGGTAACTCGGGATGGGGTACTGAGACCCCCAGGTTATAGCCCAGCAAGAATCACTGCCCGCCGTGAGCCTCAGTTTCCCCTATTCCCATCTCCATCAGCTCCCTGAGCCGTGGTTTCCCCACCCCGAGGCTGCAGGAGGACCTCGTCATCATTGGGCTCCCGTGCTCAGCTGGGTGTGGTTGAGCCACTCCCAGTAGGATGGGCACGTCTGAATGCTCAGGTCTCTGATGGTGCCTTGGGAAGCCCACCGCCGGGCACAGGGAACTCAGTAAGGCGTGCTGGTCCACAGGGACTTACTGTGTGTGGGGGACTAGCTAGGCACAGGGTGCAGTGAGTGGGAGTGAGCCCCTGCCCTCCCATAGGGGAACAAACAGATTAAGCACACACATGGGGAGAGAAAGAGAAACGGGTGGAGAGAGGAGTGCTCCCCACTCCCAAGAACGAGTGTCATACATTTCTTTGGAAGGAGCGCAATGATTAGAAGCTATGGCTAGGGCAGGCCAGCTGGTGGCGTGGTGGTTAAGGCAGCTAGGTCCCACATGTGCGTTGAGTGGAAATGCCAACTGTGTCACAGCGCTATGAACAAGCGGAAGCCGTTGACCTCCCCTCCTTTCCCTCAAGTCTCATTCTCGAGAGGCAATCACTTTTCATTCTTAGCTGTGTCTTCTGCTGTGTCTTCCCATGTCGCAAGTGATGTGCATACATCTACTTGAATTGTCTTCCCATTTTACACATTATTGAATGTAGGGACCTGCAGTTGGCATAATGGTTATGTCACTGAACTCCCACGTGGTTAACTGCAGTTCAAGACCCAGACCCACAGTGGCTTAAAATTTATATCGATTGTGTGTGCGTGTGTGCCCAAGATCCCGAGAGGAGAATGGAGGAGAAGGGATTGCAGCATGGCCGTCCCCCACTGGGGGATGACCTCTTGCTTTCTCTCTCTCTCTCTGTCTTTCTGGTGAGTGCACGTACCCTGTAGCAAAAACCTCTAAAAAATTTAACTAAAAAAAAAGAAAGAAAGAAAAGAGGGAGAGAAACATTATTGAACGTATATCCTGGAAGATACGAGGGTGAGCCCCTGGGCTCGGCGCCTCTTCCCATCCTCATGTGCGGCTGCCTCCCGTGCGGGGCTCAGTGGTACTCGGTCTTCCCCTCATGGAAGCTGAGCCACTCAGTGTGCTGTGGTGAGTGTCCCTCCTGGAGTTGACAGTGCTTCTTCTCAGTTTGGTCAGCTACATCAGCCCCATTTCTTTTTTATTCCCTCTATGAGTGAGAGAGACA